TTTTGAAGAAAGAGAGAGAGAGAAAAGCAGCCAAGAACAGTGAGGACTTGGGGAGAAATGAAACACAAGAAGGAATCAGAATGATAGAGTGGAAAGAGGCATGGCGATATCAACCCATTCTTCAGGAAGAATTGCATAAAAAATGCATAATATTGCTTATTGCTGCCTTAACACACTTTTATAAATGTTAAAAACCTTCATGCTCAGCTGATTTACCATTGCAGTGCTCCTGGACCACATTGCTTCAGGTTACATATGAGCAGGCAGAGTTCTTGATTTGCAGCCCTTCACACACGTAGCAATAGCAAAACTGGGAATAACAGGTCCTCCTCTATAGAAAGCACCTAATCCAAAATTTACTCTACAATAAAATTTTTCACCTCCTTGCTCCTGTCCCAGTAAATGAAAACACTGACATAGAGCAGAGGGAAGATGTGGGCCACAAAACCTCTGGAGATCTCTCTGCTCCACAGATTTCTGTGGTTCTGTGTGAACAGATGGAAAGGAAAGAACAACAGCAGATGTTGAGAGAATATATAATGGAGAAGTCATACTGGGGTGTGCATGGAGATTCATGTCTACAAAACAGCACTGAACTAGGAAGTTGCCAGACTAGACAGTGGAACAGGCTGATCTGTACTGAAGAGACTCAACTCTTTTTTTCTCTAGAAACACTTGAATTTTCCTTTCCATGTATTAATGAATGTGGGATACAGCTGCTTACAGTCAAAATGGCCACCACTAAAAGTCCCAATATGTTGAGAGAACAGGTGTATTTAATCCCCTTCTTAGTAGTTACTCATTAAATGAAGGCAGAATAACCCAAACCAGCAGGTATTGCAATTGAGGAAAAAAATAGTTAAACATGCAAGTGAAAAACATCTGAGTTACTGATTAACTCCTGGCTTTTGTAACCCCAGCAGTTCTTCAGTTGGTTTACTAGGAGACCAAAACACAGAACTGTGCCACTTTAATAACTCATCGTGCACTTTATCTCTCCTTGGCACAGGTGTCCCTGGGCTGTGACAGTGAGAACAGCACTGCCCTCTCTTGATGGAAAGAGTTCAGACCTTTTTCAACGCCTGCAGAGCCTTTCAACGTGAGTCAAAACAGCAAGAGAAGTCCACGTAGGACAGAATGGATTGAAGTATAACCCCTTCTTTGGTGTGTCAACTGCCAGAAGTTGAGAGAATAGAAGGAATAATTGACTTGCTGTGTGTGCACATTCTCAGGCATCTGCTCCAGGATGTCCATTGCAGATGGGATGCTGGGGCAGCTGAGCCTTTTGTCTGTCCCTCTGTGGCCAAACTTAAGCTCTCAGGGAAAAATCTGGGCAGGAAGGGAACATGGAGGCTTAAGACATTTCTGGAGCAATCAGAGTAAAAGCAATGCAACATGCTTGGCAGGATGGAAAACAGGCTGATGCTCACTGTGAGGAAGAAAAGGGTGATTTGATATGTCTTCTTCCACCTGCAGTGTCTTGTTTGCCCTCCTGCTTCCAAGCAACTCCATTCAGTCCGGAGTGTTGCCTCAAGCAATATCTCTCCCTCACTGTTACTCCTGATGTATTCACTTGTTATTGCAGCCTGTCACTCGGTTTAACTGAGCACATGCTGTTTGCCATCTGGAGGAAAGTCTGAGAAGTGAGGTGGCAATACTCACTGTGATCAGGGGTTAAGCTGAGTCTCCTCAGAAGTTGGCTCTTCCATATCTTGACTGACTGGAACATCCTGAGCCCTTGCAGGGTGTGAGGAAACTCCTGAAGACGTATGACCCTGAAATGGGACAGCCTTGCCCTGTGGTGCAGAGGAAATTCTTCCAAAGTTTAATAACTGTGTTTTTCACTAATACAACTTGTGCTTAAGCAAAGTTGCTCTGGAAAGGAACTGATCCTGCAACACCACAATCTCTGTTTCACTCAGAGGAGGTAAATTTGAAGAAACAAGCAGAAGCACTCAGCACCCTCAGCACAGATGGACATAGGATTCCTGGATGAGCAAGATGTCCAGCAGTGGTGGAAGTCAGGGGCCTGGCAGGCTGGGAGTGGATGCTAGATTGTGGTGAGCTAACCCAAGGAGGGTCTAGCTGTGTCTGTGGGGACAAAGACTGCCCTGTGAAATGAGCCTGAAAAGATGCAAGCCTAGTTTGTGTTCTGTCTTACTTCTGCTCAGACTCTTATAAAACCCCTCATCTCTAAGCAAAAAATAACAATAGCCACTAAAAACCCCAAATTCTTGTTTGTCACCATCAGCTGTCACAGAAGGCAAAAATGGCCATTTGCTGGACCAGCTCATTCTGCTGCTTGACCTGCCTTTGGTATGCTCAGTTTTAATCTTTTTCACTTAAAATTTCACAGTAAGGCTCCATTTTCCTGGTCCCAAACAAGCAGCAGGGTGCACGCTGAACAATAGCAAAGGGTTTGGCAGAGTGCGGATTCCTTGTCTGTGCCAGAAAAGCTTCTCTGATAGCTCTGAGTTCCTCTTCACCCCCCTCTACCAGGGGCTGACATCAGGGAAAGAGAAAATACAATTGAATACCATCAAGAGTAGTGTCCTGTTTATTTTCCTGCTAACAGAATTATTTTCAGGACATCTCAGAAGTCAGAAATGGGAGCAAGGAGAGGGGTGAGAAAATCAGAACAAGCCCACACTGGGATTTCATTAGCTGTTACCAGAGAAGAGACTACAATCAGGACCAAAATGCAGGTCAGGGACAGAATAAATGAAGCTGTACATATGCCACATGTCCTTGCCTACCCTTCTGGAAGAAGACCACAAAGAACTGGAGAGGTTTCTCTGCCAGAAGCAGGACAGTCTAATCTGTTAATTATGCTTGTTGGTTATTGCTGGTTCCTATAGCTGTGTGGGACAGCCAATCCAGAGCAGCACTGGCACAAATATGGATTTACTAAGGGAAAAAAATCCAGTAGATATGGGCTCTTCATGAGCAGTGGCTGCTGCTGTTTGCTCCTGTGTACAGAGATGTGGTTATGCAGCTGCACAGCCTCTTCCTTGTGACACGAAAAGGGAGTCTGGCAAGAGTCTGGCATCTCTTGGATCTTGAAAGGGAAGATTTCACTCTCTCTTTTCACATTCCCTCCTTCCCTTGCCCACGGTTGCAACATTACACTCCTGCTGCCTTGAACAAGCTCTGGTTCTAATTAGATGGGAAGGGTTAAAAATCAAGCATCAGTTGGTTGGAGCTCTACCAGCTTCTGTAAAACAATTTTTTTTTTTGTTCAGTAAGACTGCTGTGTGAAAACCTGTTTTTTTAGCTCTTAACAGTGGAGGTCCTAGTCTGTTCTTCTTCAGAAAAAGTGTTCTGACTTAAAACCTGCTTATTTATCCCTTAAAATGAACGATCTTAGGATTCTGAGCTCTCTTATCCAGCACAGAGCAGAAGGACACATGGACTACCCAGATCATCTTAGGGTTAGTGGAATGTGCTGCATGTCTTCTTGCATGAGCAGGGGCTTCTTGTCCAAAAGCTATGTGGCTGTCAGAGATGCTCAGTTCTGCCTTCCAGGCTTTTGAACAGTCCTTAGGAGTTCAAGTGATCTGTTTCTTTTCAGGCCAGGAGAAATGAGGTGAGACATACATGCAATGAGGTGTGGGTTGAGGAAAATGGGATGACCTGCATGGTTTGAAAAGTGGAAATCAGAGACCAATTATACTGCTCCTGACCACACAGTCTCTGGATCAGCTCTGCCCACTCCTGCATGAGAGATGTGCCTCTTCTGGAAACCACCACAGGTTACGCTGTTCCCACTGCTCTAATTGTGATTCCCATCTCTGCAATTACAACTGCTGTAAGTGACATGGATCAATAACAAACTGATGAGCCAGAGACTTTCCTGAGGCTACTGCATGGAGCAGGGGATGAGGAATGGAATAGGAGGCTTTGCAGCTTTCAGTTCACTCCCTCCTGTCTCAGCAAGGTCAGTAACAACTCTAAATCAGGTGGAGTGAAGGGCTGATTCAGCAGGACATCCTGATGGGGCTGCTGCCTGCTTACCTCTGAGCTGACCACACTGCAGATGATGGGGAGGGGATGTTGGACCTGTCACCTTCTCATGGCAGGCTGGTATCAGCCGTGGTCTTAACTGAGGATGGGATCATGTGTAGAATAGGAATACCTGATGTCTCTCTCTCTTTCTCCATTCCCCAGGTCAGTTCAGGGTTAGGGTTAGGGTTAGTTCAGAGATGTCTTTCCACAGCTAAATGTGCAATGAAATGAACAGACTATTTTCTAAAAGAAGTAATTCTTTCCATAGGAAAGAGTGAATGAAGCCGTGAAATGACATTTCTGTCCTTTATACATCATCGAGACCTACACCTCAATTAACCTTCCAACCTGGACAATCTTTACTAATCTGTGTAGTGTGAACTCCCTTCCCTTACCCATTCCCATTTTGGTAGAGACTACATTCATGGCATCTTTTTCTTCCTGCAACTGTTTTTCAGCATAAATCTCTTTTCACTGTTCCAGCCCAACCACATAGTGGAAAAAAAAAAACATGTATGGGCTTTGATTTTCATCTGTCTTGCTAGTAAAGGAGAAATGCCAAATCCGGTCTCTGAGTGGATCTAACAGTGAGATCTAACAGAGCCAGCACCTGCTCTGCAGTGGGGAGGAATGGTGATGGTGATGGCAAAGAACATGGGGGTGGCTCTTCCTGCCCCTGGCAGAGTGGCACTTCCCACAGCTTAGTAGTGCATTGGTGGGACTTGGGTTTGAGCTCGAATTGAGCCCATAGTGATAAATAAAAGAAAACACAGACTAAAACCCTGCTCACAGTTGTCCCTGCTGCTTGGTTGCTTGTGCACTTTCTGGACTGGTTTTGGGGGCCTTTCCCATGAGGAAACACCTGGTATGTGGATCTAAATGCAGCTGGGTGGACGTGAGCTGTGCTGTTTCATAGAAGCAACAGCAGGGAAAGTTCTGTGGATTATGACACAGACATCACCTGCAGTCCTTATCCAAATGTGTCACGTCCTAAACTGAATTCAGGCCAACATGGGATCAGACCAACCTCACATAAGCAGCTTTAGGGTGATGTCAGCAAAGCGGTTGGTATGAATTCCCAGCAGCAGCAGGGTCAGTGCTGAGGGGTGAGGGCTTCCTGAAAGCTGGGAGAGATGCTAGGGGTCCCATCCATGAATTTACAACTGTGAGCATGACACAGTCCAGTCAGGGTACGTTTTAGAAGAGTGGCCTGGATAAGGGTTAATGACTGCTCTACAGAATAAATTATTTCAGGTGAAATGCATTAACCCCATGCTTAAAGCAGCCTCGTGCTCTCCCTCCACAGAGGAGGGTTCTTTTAAAAGGGAATGGGACTTCACAAATGATTATTTTTTCCAGGGAAAATTTTCTCTTTGCTCCGGTGCTTTTTTCTATGTTGTAAAAACTGGTGGTTTTTACTCATTTCTCTGACCCTCAAAATTATTCCACAACTCCTAAAAATTTGGAATGGGGAAAAAAAAGGATTAGGACAACATGTTAAACAAAATTAAAACTCAGGCTTAAAGGATAGGTGAACTTTTGTTGTGTAAATACATATGTATTTTCATGCATCTCACTCTCTATATACAAAGAAGATGAGTTTTAAGAAAATTTTGAAAATTATCTAGTCATTAATTCTTTTCTTGATTATTCATGGTAGAATGGTAGATATATTAAATACTTATCTGGCCTGTGTATCTTGGGGATAGGAATATTTCTTTGTTCTGAGTTTGTACCTCTTCTGGTACTAGGGACAGACACTACATTACTGAAGGCTCTCAACGCCTGTGGTGCAGCAAGAAGGACTCACCATGTCGCTATCATTTCAGTGACCACCTGTGACCCTGCTGCATGCCATTAAGTGATAGGATTTTTAGGAACCTGTTGAGGTGCAACATAACATTTGACTGGCCGGGTTTTGCCCGGTATTTTTTTTCATGGCTACTGAGTAGATCAAAACTGTCTGGTCAAGGCCCAGACCCTCCTGTGTTAAGCACGAGGCAAAGGTCTGATAAAAGACAAGCTCAAACAGTTGGATGGAAAGGAAGACAGGGTATGGAATATGGCATTTCCATAAGTCCAGATCCAGAAAGTTAAATTTAGAAAGAGAGTTCAGGTGATGACAAAAATGGATTTTTTTCTTTTTTTTTTTTTTTTTTGGAAAAAAATGGAAAATGGAAAATCCTACTGACTGGTGTAAATTGATGTAGCTTTGACCTCTGGGAAGAACTAGTCTACATCCATGAGAACATGGCCAAGTAATACTGTGCTGTGTGACTGCACAGGAGAGGAGGGTCTGAAGGGCACTGTTATCAAAGGAAGTGAATACCTGAAACACAAAGATCTAAAGTTTTTCTGTACCAGCCATGAGGCCAACCTTTGTTCCTGTAAGCACAGTAATCTTTCTGTCCTTCCTGCAAAACACAGCCTCTCCCAAAAAAACTGGATGACAGAGACTCTTCACTGATGGGTTTAATTAAATCTTTCTGTGTTTTGTTCCCTGCATTGACCCTGCAATGTCACCTGGTTCAACAGAGCCATTCTCCAACTAGGGAAGCCTGCTGCTGTAACCCCACAACCCCAGACTTGCAAATCAACAGAAAAATGCTGTTCACCAGAGATTCTTAGACACTTCAGCTGAAAGGACTCCCTGAAGGTGTTTAACCCAAGATGGAATCCACGGTGCTCTATCAGACCAAACCTGGCTTTTTCTAGCTATACCTTGATGTCCTACAAAGACAAAGGTACCATTTCTTCTCTAGGCTGACCCATTATATTCTCACCCTGCTAGTGAGAAAAGCATTTTGCCTAATGTCCAGCCTGAACTTCCCAAGCTGCAGTGCATGGCCATTGTTGCTTCTACTGCCATTCGATACTACAGAAATGAACTTGTCTCAGCCATCTTCACCTCTTCCCTCTCCTTAATAGAAGGGCAAGGACATCAAAGGCAGATAGTACTTTTTGGCCCTTTATTCACTGCTTGCTCATATTGTACAAAAGAAAGCACAGGCTACATATGCAGGCTAGAGAGTAACTGGGACCTGAGATCATCCATGTTATTAAGTCCATAGTCTACTTCCTGGCACTGTTTTAGCTCATGGATTCTCATCCCCTCAGAGAGCATGCCCTGGCTTAGCCTGGGACACAGCATGAGCCAAGGACTGTTCCCAAAAGACAGTATAGATAAAACCATCCAGTATTTTTAAGACACTGAGGTTTAGCTGTACAGTCATACACCATGCTACATCTGTGCCCTTGGTCACAAGAATGTGACCTGACCTATCTTATTATATCCTATTTTTATGTTTGCATATCTCTATATATAAACACCTCCCAGAATATGCCTACTCTTAAATGCCAGCTGCCAGCTCACCCTTCGCACTCTCCACTATTCCCTTCGTGCCACCCTCTGGGGACACAATGTAAACATTCAGCTTTATGTCATAGGAATCGCACTCTGATGGCGCTGCTGCAGTGCTCTTACATTATTTCATATACTTTTATTTAAATATATATGAGTTTAAGTAAGAACTTTATTTCAAGTCACAGGAACAGTGCTTGGGGACTACAAGAGATGCAGGATCTGGTGCTCAGCAAAGCAGATATGGTCAGTCAGCTGGAGAGAACTAGTCCTCATCAGTGTGGGTGAGACCAACTCCAGAAGATGATATATCAGCAGTGCTGTTGTAGCCACAGGAATGAATGGCTCATTATTCCTGGAAAGATGTCTAGGACTGGAAGATGAGCCATACTGTGTTTTCCATTATTATGAAGGAAGCACTGGGCAAACTTATTCTTGTGAATGCAGGTCAGCATGGTCATGAAAACACATCACAGGTCTCCTGAGATGCAGGTGATCCAGGACAGGATTATTCTCAAAAAGTGTCCACTCAAAAAGGAAAAGTCACATTACAAACCTCAGCACATCCTTTCCTTGCCTGCTCTGGGATTTTGCTACTCAGGAGATAAGAGTAAGAATGAGCTGCCATGTCATTGAAAATAGCAAATGTCACTGGAAGTAGAGCAAAGCAACAACAGCTGCAAAATCTGCAAGCCAGGCTGGTGAATTTTGCCCTGGACTGTAATTCTGCATCACCCCTGATCAGTCATGAGGATTTGGCCAATGAGATGGGAGTTGTTGGGCTTGGTGAAGGACCTCACACTCATCTCTGACATGGGCAAAGAACAAGAATAATAAATAAAAACTCTTCAACTTGAAAGGAACGGACTGTGGGAATATTCATCACAGGAGATGAAGTGGAACAATTATTCACTGTGCTAATATCACAATATTGAATACCTGGGAGCCTGATGAAGCATTTGGATAGGCAATTTAAAACTGAAGGCAGTAGCTGTTCAAATAACACAGTTTCAAACAGGGGAACTTACTGCCTCAGCCCAAGGCAAGGGTCTGGCATTGCTATGGGAGGTGCAACTTTCCCGTGTGGGGTGAGTGTGCTGTACTGAGTCCCTTTTGCTGGATTCTCAGCCTGGCACAAGCCTGGCACAAGCCCATGAGATGGGTGGGAGGCAGCTCTGCAACCATCTGGGGGATGATAGGCAATGCTGGTGTGGCCCAGCCAGAGCCACGTACCAGAGTGCCGGGGACGGGAGCACCTTCCCCCACGGTGGACAGGCAATGGGATGTGGTGTGATCACCCAGCAGAGCTGCCCTGAGAGAGGAGTCCGGATGGATCCCTGCCATTGACCATGGCATGCTCCCCTCTACCTCAACTCTAGGGCATGAGCATATGTGCTGCTGGCAGTCAGCAGCCAGATAGAGCCTCTGCTTTCATTGAACCCTGCTAATTAATTTACAGCATTGATTGCTTTTTACAATATATCTGTCCCTCATTTAACATTTGGGTACTACAGCTGAGAACAAATAAATCCAAAACTGTACAAGCTGATGATATTGGTGGCATAACATGAAAGTCCTGTTAGAAACAACTGAGTTGCCTTTATGGTCCACAAAGGACATTTTGATCTGCCATAACTAAAGCCTTTTACATCCTAAACTAAAACGATTTGAGCATTGCAACAGAGCCAGGAGCCCCACATATTTATCCCTTGTTAGGAAATTAGGTTTCAAGGGAAGAATTTTCTTTTTCTTTTTTTTTTTTTTTAGTTGTGAGTATTTCTAAAGGGTCAGTAAACACCACCCCCTCCCACCCCCCCTTCCCTAGTTGTCCCCTTTCAAACAGGAAAGAAAAACTGTAGAGATAGCAGGACTGATGTGAACCCTCAGAGTATGAAGCCTTGAAGGACTTCTCCCATCTTCCTTCTCATCCCTTTCATGGCTTGTGGGCTCCTGCGTTTAGTTCTTACCCAGAGGCCAAAATGGAGAGATTTAGCAAATAAATCCCAAGCCTTATAGCTGTGAAGATAGTAGTGCCAGGAGGGAACAAGCTTTGAGTCTGTGATGTGACACACACTGCTGTGAGAGAGCTGAGTGCACCAAGAGTCACCGGATAACTCATGGGAACAGGAAAACAGCACGCTCTAGTGGGGAAATTATTAAAGTCTATTAGAAAAATCTAGTAGAAAACAAATCACTGCTCTTCGAGTGAAAGCAGCCATTGCTTCCTATCTCTATCCAGTGTTTCTTCTCTCATCGCTGTGCATCTCACATCACTCGTTGCCCCTGTTACCCACTAGCCCAGGCAGGGGGACAGTCCTTCCAAGGTTCTCTCACCTACTGTCTCAGAGCTTGGGTTGACAAAATTGGGTCCATTCCCTCTGACTTGCTGAGTGCACTTGGCACAGTGCATGTTTTTCTGTGCCAGTGTGGCAGGGCCAGTTCCCAGGGTGCGGGAGGGCAGTTGGGTCAGTGACAGGCAATGGCGAGGTGCCCCATTAGCATGGTAATCAGCGGGCTCCTTCCCTCTCCCTTTCACTGTCACCCACTGGAAAACTCTCCATTAAGGAGAACTCATTACTGGCAAAACAGACACTAATCAGGTATTAGTTGTAACCATTAATGAAAAAGCTAATGAGGTGCTGAGATTCCCAGCGCTGACTGAAATGAGTTAATCACATCTCACTGCTCAAAGGCCCGTTAGTCTGCGTGCATGTTGATGTTTCCCATTCCGTTGCTTATGATAGGAAATAAAAACTTTGCTCTGGCTTCATTTACTTGCATCTGCTGGATCTCTCTGCTAAGCTGTAAAGTCATGTACTGTGGGCCAAACTTGCAACTTTTGCTGCCAAGCAGCAAAGTTCCCTTGGCCCCCACGAAGCCACCCCAGAGAGAGCTCTCACTGGTGGAATAGCACCCAGGGAAGGAAGTGTTGTGCTGACCCAGGGAGGGAAGCAAACACCATGCCCACAGCCACATAAAACAGTGATTTCTCATGGCCTCTGGCTGTTGGTTTAAAATGTTATTCCAGCTCCCACAGTAACAAGAACTGAAGTGCCACCAATGTCCCAGCTGCACTCCTCCTGAAGCAGCTCCTGGTTTTTTTTCAGTTAGTATCCTGTCATTCCTGCTAGCGGTGAGTAATAATCTCACCAGAATCCAGTGCTATCTGGGATGAACGAGTCATTGGAAACAACTAGCAACTGAGGTAATTTGGTTAAATTTGACCTAAAGATTTATCTCAAGTGTTGTTGATAATACCAGCTCTCAGACTTCAGGAAAGGTCTTAGGACCCCTTGAATTCACAGGCATCATTAAGGATCTAGTTTATTTTAATCTGGTGGAATGGAGGTAGGTTTCTTCCTAGCAGCCCATATAGTGCTGAGTTTGAGATTGGTGGTGGGGGAATGTGAGTGAGTGGCTGTGTGGGTGCTTGGCTGCTGGCCAGGATCAAATCACAATGCGTGCTCAAAAGCATCATGAGCCTAATTCTCTCCTGGCTCACCAACTTTGATGGACTAAACAAAGGGGTAAAACCCTACTTTTCTTCAAAAGGTTTCCTAGAAGATCCATTTGGCTTTATTTTTATGTATCCTGTCTTCACCCTGACGTCTGTTTATTTCTATTTCCTTACCTTCCTATTCAAATCAAACTCTTAAATGACAGAGCCTGTCATCTTGCAGAATTTATCCCTGCAGCCAACTCTTTGATGTCTCCCACGATGAACCATCAGTCATCAGTCTCTCCTATGACTTTTCCTGTAACTCCACCACTGCAGGCAGAAGCTCATCAGCATCTTAGGGAACTTGTTCACGCATACCCACCTGATATCAGAACGTGAGGATGTGTTGTACAAAATCCTTGAATGTTTAAAGGAGAGTGGAAATAGTGATAGGAAAAGGGGGAGCCATTTTAATTTAAAAGACTGGAGATTTACATTAGATATTATGAAGAAATTATTTACCTTGAGGATGGTGAGGCAATGGTTACCCAGAGAAGTTGTGGATGCCCCATCTCTGGAAGTGTTCAAGGCCAGAGTGGATGTGACTTTGAGCCACCTGGTCTAGTGCAAGGAGTCCCTGCCCATGGCAGCTTGATTGGAATGAAATAATCTTGAAGATCCCTTCCAACCAAGCCATTCTATGATTCTGGGATTGATTCTGTGCAATCACTCTTTCCATTTTTTTTCTGCCGTATGAAACCCACTTAGGTATTTGCGCAGGCTGAACACAGGCTGTGGCTGCAATCTGGACATGCTTCAAAGCACAACCCAAGTATGGCCAATGCATTCAAATAGGCAGCAGGATGGGGCTGGGGGAGCAATGTGCAGCTCCCCTGGGTGGTGGCAGCTCTTTGGGGCCAGCCCCGGGAAAGAAAGGAGGGGAACAAAACAATCCACATGGGGAGAAACTGCCTTAAGGGTGTCCTTGACATAGCACTTGAGTTGAAGGCAGTTGGGCCATTCTTGGAGGAACATCCTGCATGGTGCTGCAGGATGCAGCATTAGTGGCACAGGTTAGGACACTTTTCTCACTGACCTAGTGTCTGGGTGGACAGGGAAGCAGTTGTAGTTGCTGTGTAAATCTGGAGTCTCTGATTATGCGGGAAAAGTAACTATTGTGGGAAATGTACTGTCTGAAAACACAGAGATTTACCTCTGCATACAAGTACCTAAGAAATTTTCATTTTGTGAACCATATTTTATTTCATATTGCCTGATAATAATAAAATGTAGTGAGATCTGTTCCCTGAAATTCTGTAGGAAAGAAAGTGAAAACAGAGATTTTTGCCTTTTCATTTGTTGAGTTTAATTGTTATTCTGACTGTGAGCCATCAGAGGAACCCACACCATGAACTGAAGCCATATACTTCCCCTGTGGGTACTTACTTTCTTCATTTGATGCTGTTAGCAAAGTCCAAAGTCCTTTGTCCAAGTCCTGTGGTCGGTCCATCTGTCTGCGTGTTGCTGCTGTTGCTGCTGCATGTCTTACTGGTCTCAGGCATTTTTTCAATTGTAATTTTATGCAAATTACTTTCCTGACAAAATAATTTCAGACCTGGAAGCTGCATTTCTTGTGAGTGGGCATGAAGCAAAATGCAAAATGATTTTCAAGAGCAAGCTGTTACCTGGTGTTATTTTGCTTTGCTGAGGATGACAGAGGAGCAAGGGATTTGCATCTCCTCTGCAGCTGAAGTGACTGGGACAGCTCCTCATGCTTCTGTGCCTCTGCTTCCCACTCATTTTCAACAAGTGTGATTCTGGCTTGTATCTGGGTTGTATCTGTTAATGGTGGTTAATATGTCAGTGATGTAGCATGTCCAGAGCCTGGGTTAAAAAGCAAAATGTGAAGCAGCTTCTGAGAACCTGATCCTCTGAAGGTCATACTGCACAGCAGCTCTTACTGTGGCCATCAGATCATTGCCCATATCTGAATAGGAGCTTCTCAAACTGCCCTCTGATGACTTTTTGACTTTCTTACCACTAAGCAACCAGGATGGTTGCATTTCAATGGGCAACTTGTATCACTGCTAGATCATCTACCCTAGACACTCGATTAAACAATAAAAGGAAACAACACATAAAGAAAGTGAGCTATTGATGAGGTCGATAATAGCTCAGGTGGAGTCTCCACATGTAAAGCAATGGTCATGCAGATGCAGTGGTGTGGCCTGCTGAAGTGATGCCTGATCAAAGACATCATCTCCTACATGGAGCTCTTCTAATGCATATTTGGCCCATCTGTGACTGAAGGGCTTGTGTGATCACAGCAGATGAATTAGACCCTTAAAACAGGGATCTGGTGTGGATCCTCAGCATCTCAGCCAG